GGGATGTGGGAGTAGTGAGAAGAAAAGTGACGGAGCCTGAACTAAGTTTGCTGATATATGGGTGAGAAACGGGGGAAGCACAAGCGTAAGTCCCCACACCTTGTTTCGAAATATCATTCTGGCAGTTGATAAAGGTGTTCCTTGCCTCCAAAACAACAAGGTTTTGAAAAAGTTTGCTACATTGGAGTTCAACTGGTTTGGGTTTTTTTGTTTGCCTTAAAAAGCACCTTCTTCAACCAATAGGAGAAACTGGAGTATAGCCGTTTGAGTAATTTCCTGTAATTATTGTGGGTGTTCACGGCAGCATTTTAATTGAAGCTTAAGCTACTTAGGATATGGAACTGACGCACAAGTTGAAGTGGCTTTTGGAAAAGGACACATTATAGATAGTTTAAGTATGTGCAAGCTCGGTTTGGGACAGATTTGGAATAGCTGCCAGTGAACAAATACCCAGGTGTTTGAAATAGTGACAGCAGTTGGGTTGTTGTGAATTTTGTGAGCTATATGGCCATGTTCCAGAAGCATTTTCTCTTGACGTTTCGCCTGTATCTATGGCAGACATCCCCAAAGGTTGTGAGGTCTGTTGGAAACTAGGAAAATTGGGTTTAAATATCTGTGGAATGTCCAGGGTGGGAGAAAGAACTCTTGTCTGTTTGAGATAGGTGTAAATGTATTCAAAGGATGGTTGCCTTTGCCTTCTTTGAATACATTGTGTCAGAAAAACCTTTGATAGGTTCACAACAACAACAACAACAACGCACTTAGATGATCTGTTCCTCAGCTTTCACACAGATCACAACATCTAAATGGTTTGGCCCCGTCTATCTCCACAATCGCATCTCCCCCTACGAGCCAGTCTTAGATCTACTGGGGAGGTCCTCCTCTTGCTCCTACCACCATTCCAAGCCCTGTTGGTGGGGTTGAGGGAAAGGGCCTTCTCAGTGGTGGCCCCCTGCCTCTGGAATGCCCTCCCCAGAGAAATAACACAGGTCCCACTATGGCCGTTAGTCTTTGCACTTACCCTTTCCCCCGACCCTGGGTTATCACTGCACTAGCCTCGGCCCAGCCCTCTCAAACTGTCTAGGCCCACTTTGATATTTTGGCCTTGGGTAGCTTATTTTGCACAATAGAATAGTGTTGGAACTGGTTTTAAATGTATATATTTTATTAATAGTTTTATGTCTATGTTACTCCGTAGGTTTCTCTGTTACTTTGCCTATGTGGAAATCGCCCTGACTCCCCTAGGGGAGATAGAGCGGTATACAAATAAGGTTTTATTTTTATTTTATTATCTTCTCTAATCGGCTCCATTCATATCTATCTTAAGCATGAGTTGACCAGTGTACTATGGTACGACCATGTTTGTCTTTCACATTATATGCCATACAGAAGGAATCAGACCATCGGGTGGGAGGGTGACCAAGAGGTCTCGTCCATCCCCGCAGGTACCATGTTGCCGTGGCATTGATCCAGTGTCCATCTGTTCCGCGCATCCTGCGGCCTGCAAAGCAGTGTTTGGGTTGGGCAACGTGGCTATTTATCTGTACATTTTATTTTTTACGTGGCTGTCCTGACGGTTCAAGGCAGCGTGCAATAGAGTCAAAACATTTGCGCATAAAATACAAAGAATGAAAATACATAGAAAAAAAGAAATACATAGATCAGAACACACTAATATAAGAAACATACACCAAACACAGTTACCAAATTAACATATAGCAGCAATGGAATGAAAATCAAAACTCATGATTGAAAGTTGACTGGTTATCGTGCTGGAAGAGATGGGTCTTAAATTAGATCTTAAATTCTGGCAGCTCCTTTAACTGTCGGATCTCGTCCTTTGGCAGGTTATTCCACAGTCTTTGTGGGGTGCCTGATGAAAAGGTCTTTTGGGTGACTGTCGCAAGTCGGGTTCTGGATGGTTGGAGAAAGCATCCCCATAGGACCTGAGTGTCCTAAAGGGCAGATCGTACAGGTGAAGGCGCTCCTGTAGAGAATCTGGACCCAAACCATGTAGGAATGTAAAGGTCAAAACCAATACTTTGTACTTTGTCCAGAACCTAATTTGCAGCCAGTGGAGTGAATTTAATATGTGTGTAATATGCTCACTCCTAGATGCTCCTGTGCTTTAAGGTCACAGTAAGTAAAATAATGAATTACCAGCACACAAGAAGAAAAACCAAACACGCCTGGTTAAGTGATGAAGCTCCCCGAGCAGCCAAAAAAAATAAAAAGTTCCATGTTATTAGCATTAATTTAACACAATTAGAACTTCCATAGCCATTTTGTCATTGCCCAATGACAAAAACTAAACACACCTGGTTAAGTGATGAAGCTCCCCGAGCCGCCAAAAAAATAAAAAGTTCCATGTTATTAGCATTAATTTAACACAATTAGAACTTCCATAGCCATTTTGTCATTGCCCAATCAATACTATGCTGAAAACAAATCACACCTTAAAAGTACATTCAAACACTCAGTATGCTAAACAATGTCCCTTTTTGTATCATTACTACTTCTTATTGCTTTGTTCTTCCTGCTCCCCTAAATCGACTGGAACAGCACCTCACTTCTCCCTTGCAACTCTGCCACGTACTGATTTTGTTCTAAAAACTCCCAACTGTTGAAGCATCACATGTCAGAAATATTAAAAATGAACTAGGCATTTTAAATTACAAAAATGTGAGTCAAGCACTGAAATAGTTAGTAGCCCAAAGCCTGTTAGAGTCAGTGGGCCAAAGCTAGTGTTGTCCTAAGGAGTGTGAGGTAAAACTCTGTGTGAGAGAAGCCTCGTGTGAGAAAGCTCCAGTGTGAAGGCTGCTGCGTGTAAAGCTACTGTGTATTACTTTATTTGTGTTATAGAAACCTTATTCTTGTAAATAGTACAATCATATTATTTTGCTACAAAGAAAAAACCTCCTATGGAAGAGATAACATTGGTCTATGTGTTTTTGTTCTTTTTATCACTTTGGGCTGCTGGTGCTTGGTCGCACTGCTGCTGCTGGGTACTCTGCTGTGCGTTTATGAGGAGGGTCCTTTGTTGAAGAGCCCACTCGCCCAACATCATGGCTATAAATTCTCCACATACATATGCACATAGGCATTTAAAATTAATTCACTGTAGGAAGGTGTTTGAGAAGTGACTCTTTTTCCAAATTTGGAATGATCACCTGCATTTATTGTGTTGAACATGTTTCAAATTTACACTGTGATCTCCATCTCTAAATTTCTCTTCTCATTTTTGTGCATTGAGTTATTGTCAAACATGGGTGAGAATTGTATTGTCGAAGGCTTTCATGGCTGGAATCACTGGGTTGTTGTAAGTTTTTTTGGGCTATATGGCCATGTTCTAGAAGCATTCTCTCCTGACGTTTTGCCTGCATCTATGGCAAGCATCCTCAGAGGTTGTGAGGCCCTCACAACCTCTGAGGATGCTTGCCATAGATGCAGGTGAAATGTCAGGAGAGAATGCTTCTAGAACATGGCCATATAGCCTGAAAAACCTACAACAACCCATGGGTGAGGATTAATGAATATCAGTGCATGAAGTGTCACCATATGCAGTATCCATGACCTATCATCATATGCAGTGTCTGTGACTTCTTCCGAGATCTAGATGGAGGATTCAAGTTTTAAATTGGGTTTAGGTAGTGAGGACAACATAATCAAGTCAGCCAGTACTTATTCCAGCCATGAAATGAATAGGACAGACAACATGAAGACTCTGGGCTCTTAAGGGCATGTCAAGATGTTGGTCAGATGTTGTGAGGTCACGTGAAATCATAGGTTCATGTAGAGCAGTGTTTCTTAACCTTCCTAATGCCACAACCCCTTAATACAGTTTCTCATGTTGTGATGACCCCCAACCATGAAATTATTTTCATTGCTACTTCATGACTCTTAACTGTTATGCATCGTAATGTAAATATCTGATATGCAGGATGTATTTTCATTCACTGGACCAAATTTGTCACAAATACACAATATGCCCAATTTTGTATACTGGTGGGGTTGTGGGGGGGGGGGGATGATTTTGTCATTTGGGAGTTGTAGATGCTGGAATTTATAGTTCACCTACAATCAATGAGCATTCTGAACTCCACGAACGATGGAATTGAACCCAACTTGGCACACGGAACTCCCATGACCAACAGAAAAGACTGAAAGGGTTTGGTGGGCATTGACCTTGAGTTTTGGAGTTGTAGTTCACCTATATCCAGAGAGCACTATGGACTTGGTGCAAATATGTGGCTGTATCCACCAAAGCCATGATGGATCTGGACCAAACTTGGCACAAACAACCATAACATTCTTTTTATTGCTACTTCAAAACTGCCATTTTGCTACTGCTATGAATAATAAATATCTGATATGCAGGATGTATTTTCATTCACTGGACCAAACTTGGCACAAATACTGAATATGCCCAAATGTGAACACTGGTGGAGTTTGGGGAAAATAGACCTTGACATTTGGTAGTTGTAGCTGCTGGGATTTATACCTACAATCAAATAGCATTCTGAACCCCACCAATGATAGAATTGGGCCAAACTTCCCACACAGAACCCCCATGACCAATGGAAAACACTGTGTTTTCTGATGGTCTTTGACAACCCGTCTGACACCCCCTCGTGACCCCCCTCCCCGGGTCCCGATCCCCAGGTTGAGAAACACTGATGTAGAGAGCTACTCAGGTGTACAAATACGTGGGTGTATCCGTCAAAACCATTTACAGCTTTCCAATTATTTTGAGGGTTTCCTAATTATAGTCCATAAAAACTGTAATATATTTTGGATTAGAGTTGGCTATCTTGTGTCCTTCCAACCCTGTTGAGCTCAATGGGCAGTTCACATGTTCTTTTTTATCGTTGAGGTTAAAGATTTTCCAAGTCCACTTAGGCACGGTTATCTTAAGTAGTCAGCAATAGCACTAATTGTAAACAAAATCACCCAATTAATTGAATGCTTTTTAATGTAGAATTTTTTGAATTTTACTATAGGAAGCCTGCGGACCTTCAGAACCTGGCTCCAGGGACTCACCCGCCCTTTATAACTTTCAATAATGAGGTGAAAACGGATGTAAACAAGATTGAAGAATTCCTTGAAGATGTCCTCTGCCCACCCAAGTAAGTGTCAATGGGGTATGTGTGTATGGTAGGAAGATATTCTAGTGAGTGTTTTTTGTGTGACATATTATTGCTAGTTGTCCATGTGGCTCAGGCATTGCTTTGCTTTGGCAGGATGTTTTCTTGCAGATCAATTTCTTAGGGGTCAGTTTCTGAGAGATGGAGAATACAAGTGGCAGATGTGCCTTATGTAATTCTACATCGAATAAGCTGCTCTCTTCTAATAAGAATGACTCTAGCACAGGCATGGATAAACTTGGGGGCTGCATGGTGGGCCAGAACGGGGTGGGTGGGCCGGGAGGGAGGGGGTTCTCCCCAAGCCCCCTCCCTTCCCTTCCCTCCCTTCCCTCTTTCCTTTTGGAGGCAGAAAATGAAAGAAAGACAGGAAATATTTGGATCCCAAAAGGGTTGGCCTTGGTCAGGAGATGGTAGATGGGAGAGAAAAAGTGTATCCATTAGACCCCATATTGCCTACTCCTGATATAGAATCCTAGAGCTGGAAGAGACCCCCAAGGGCCATCCAGTCCAACCCCCTGCCATGCAGAAAGTCACAATCAAAGCACTCCCAATAGACAGCCCTTGCGGAAAAGCCTCCAGAGAAGGAGACTCCACCACACTCCCAGGCAGCCTAGGCCACTCTCCAATAGCTCTTACTCTCAAGAAGTTCTTCCTAATCTTTTCAGTCAACTCTCTTTCCCTCCCATTTGAACCCATGGCTCCCTTCTTGTACCCTGATCTCTAGAGCAGCAGAAAGCCAGTTTCCCCCTCTTCTTCAATAATAATTATAATTACAATAATAATTATTATTACTCCTGACCTCACAATCATGTTAAAAAACAAAGTATGGATGGTTGATGTCGCAATCCCAGGTGACAGCAGGATTGCAGAGAAACAACAGGAAAAGCTGACATGATATGAGGATTTAAAGATCGACCTGCAAAGACTCTGGCACAAGCCAGTAAAGGTGGTCCCAGTGGCGATCAGCACACTGGGTGCAGTGCCTAAAGACCTTGACCTGCACTTAAACACAATCAGCGCTGATAAAATTACCATCTGCCAGCTGCAAAAGGCCACCTTACTGGGATCTGCATGCATTATTCGCCAATACATCACACAGTGGGAAGTGTCCAACGTGTGATCCAATACAGCAGCCAGCAGAGTGACCTTGTTTGCTGTGGACTAGTCTTGTTGTGTTTCAAATAATAATAATAATAATAATAATAATAATAATAATCTTTGTATCCCGCCACCATCTCACCAATGGGGACTCTGGTGGCTTACATAAGGCCAAGCCCAACAATGCAATACAATAAATGAAATCAAAACACAAACAACAACATAATAAATTAAATAAAACATAAGAATACAGCAAACAATATAAAATTACAATAAAATCATTCATAGCACAGAACAATGAGCGGGCCGCACGTACAGAATAAAATACTAAGGCTAAATGGGACATCCTTTTAAATCTTGAAACATGGTTCTCATGTTCCCTCTCAACCTTCTCTTCTCCCAGCTAAACATCCACCAGGAGGAAAAGAGGAAGGAAAAAGAGGAAGGAAGGGAGGGAGGAAGGTTGGAAGGAAAGAAGGGTGAAAGGAAATGGTGGGAGGGAGGGAGGGAGGAAACAGAAAAGGAAGGAAAGACAAAAGGGAAGGAAGGAGAAAGACAGAGTGAAGGGAGGAAAGAGGGAAAGAAGGAAGGATGAAAGGATGGAAGGGGGAAGGAGGGAGGAAGGATGAAAAGGTGGAAGGGAAGGAGGGAGGGAGAAAAGGGAGGAAAAGAAGGAAGGGAAGGAGGAAGAAAAGAGAGAAGTAAGGAAGGATAGGATGGAGAGAGATGGGGGAGCCTGAAAAAAGAGCCCAAGAAGCCGTATCCAATCCCGGGGCCTGGGTTTGCCCCTACCTGCTCTAGCAGCATGTGTGATCAATATCTACAAAAGTTCGTACATTTTTCTGCTGTTAACCCACACTGCTATCTATTTTCGCTATTAGTATGTACCTTTTTCATGACATTATTTACCAAGAAAAACCTTGGCTAAAAATAGCACCTGTCAGTGAATCTATATTGCAAAATATTAAAAGTTTATGTTCACTCCAAAAAATGTTTGTCAGAACAAGATTAATGGGTAAAAGTGGCCCACTTGGCGTGCCGGTGGGATTATTGTCAGCCAACCAGTCTCTGAAGCCATATCAGAGGCCTTATCCTCTTTCGTTCTATTTGTAGTCCACATCCAGCCCAGAGCTATTTCCTTCTTACCATTGCCCACCTCCTGTTAGTGGGGACGGTATCAGGAAATTAATTCTTGGAGAAAGCTTTGTCTGATCTGCAAATCATTAAACGTACCCTACTATGGCAAGCAGGTCTCAACAGAAAAGAGGGAGCGAAGATTAACCAGAGTTTTTCTGCTCCATATTCTGCCCAAAGTGAACTTTACAGGTGCTGTTGGTTCTTGAAACCAAAACCAAGATTCTTCTGCCTTGTTTGAAGGCTTGAATTACGTTTGAAACTTTCTTCAGAGGACATGTAGGCATTGTCTGTTCAAAAGCTAGTAACATGGAATGTAAAATGTCACAGTTTTATCCAAGCAGGTGAACAAACACAATAAAAGAAGTTGTTTTCCTTTATTTTCTTATCACTGACCACTGACACCTTTCCTACTTGTGAAATAATTTTAAAAAATCTTTTAACATCTCCCAAGATTTCTTGTAAGGAGAAATGCATCCCTCCTTGAATATTTTCACCTTGAGGAGGTTTATGGTGCTGAATGGAGAAACAAAGTGTGCAGGCAGTCGAATTGATATGTGCTAAAACATGCCTCAGTTAATTGGGGAAACTGTATTGTTGAAGGCTTTCGTGGCTGGAATCACTGGATTGCTGTGAGTTTTTTGGGCTGCCTGGCCATGTTCCAGCAGCATTCTCTCCTGACGGTTCTCCTGCATCTGTGGCTACTGGCATCTTCAGAGGTTCTGTTGACAGTGAAGCAAGTGGAGTATATATATCTCTGTAGAGTGCCCAAGGTGTGAGAAAAGAAAAACCCTTGTCAGTTTAAAGCAAGTGTGACTGTTGCAGTTAGCCAACTTGAATAGCATTTGAGTAGCAGTGAAGTTTGCCTGGAGGCATCTCTGTTTGGGCAGTGTTAATTGGCACTAGATTGTTTGCTATCTGGAGTTCTCCTGTCTCCTAGTGGTGTTCATTACCCTGTTTCCCCGAAAATAAGACATCCCCTAAAAATAAGACCTAATAGAGATTTGCTGAATTGCTAAATATAAGGCCTCCCCCGAAAGTAAGACTTAAGCATTCTCCCCCTGGTGGCTTGAAGCTGCAATACCGTCCCTTCTGTACAAGTGGTGCAGGAACTACCCTGGGAGATTGATACAGTCTCCAGATAGTGTGTGGGAGCCAAGTATTTTACAGCTCTTATTTTTTTGTGGCCCTGTGTGTGACTGCCAGTATATTTACCATATACTGACAACTATTGTACAGTATATAATAAATGTTCATTTTTTTGGTCAACAACAATTTTGAATTTTTCTTCTTGGGAAAATAAGAAATCCCCTGAAAATAAGACCTAGTGCATCTTTGGGACCAAAAATTTATATAAGACACTGTTTTATTATCGGGGAAACAGGGTTTTACTGTCTTGATTCTGATGTTCTTTAATAATGGTAACCAGATTTTCATTTTCATCGTTTCCTCCTTTCTGTTTACATTATCCACATGCTTGTTGATTTCAGTTTCTTCTCTGTGTAGACTGACATGGTGGTTGTCAGAGTGGTCCAGCATTTCTGTGTTCTCAAATAATATGCTGTGTCCAGGTTGGTTCATCAGGTGCTCTGCTATGGCTGACTTCTCTGGTTGAATTAGTCTGCAGTGCCTTTCGTGTTCTTTGATTCGTGCCTGGGTGCTGCTGTGTTTGGTAGTTCCTATGTAGACTTGTCCACAGTTGCACGGTATGCAACAGACTACTGCAGTGGTTAGAGCAGGTATGGGTAAACCCAGGCCTGGGGCTGGTATGGGTAAACCCAGGCCCTTGGGCTCTTTTCTTAGCCCCTCCTCTCACACACCATCCCATCCTTCCTTCTCTCTTTCCTCCCTCTCTCCCTCCCTTCTCTTCCAGCCTTCCTTCTTTCCATCATTCTCTTCCTCCTTTTCTTCCTTCCTTCTCTTTTTCCTTCCTCCTGGGGATGTTTAGCTGGGAGAAGAGAAGGAACATGAGAACCATGTTTCAAGATTTAGAAATGTGTCCCATTGAGGAGGAGGGAGAGGGGAAACTGACTTTCTGCTTCTCTAGAGACCAGGGCACAAAGGAGCAATGGTTTCTAATGGGAGGGAAAGAAATTCGACTGAAAAGATGAGGAAGACTTTCCTGGAGAGTGGCCTAGGCTGCCTGGGAGTGTGGTGGAGTCTCCTTCTCTGGAGTCTGTCTATCAGGAGTGCTTTGGTTGTTCTTTCTTGCATGGTAAGGGGTTGGACTGGATGGCCCTTGGTCTCTTCCAGCTCTAGGATTCTAGGAGTCTATATCAGGAGTAGTCAATCTGGGGTCTAATGGATACACTATTCTCTTCCATCTATCATCTCATCCTGACCAATGCCAACCCATTTGGAATCAAAACGTTTCCTGTTTTTCCTTTACTTTCTGCCTCCGAAAGAGAAGAGGAAGGGGAGGAAAGGGCAGGGAGGGGATTTGGGGAGAACCCCCTCCCAGCCCGCCCACCTTACTCCGGCCCGCCATGCGGCCCCTAAGTTTTAAAGTTTGCCTATGCTTGGCTTAGGGCATCGTTTCTCAACCTGGGGGTCGGGACCCCTGGGGGGGGGCACGAGGGGGTGTCAGAGGGGTCACCAAAGACCATCAGAAAAAACAGTACTTTCTGTTGGTTATAGGGGTTCTGCAACTGCAACTCCCAAATCTCAAGGTCTGTTTTCCCCAAGCTCTACCACTGTTCACGTTTGGGCATAATCAGTATCCATGTCAAGTTTGGTCCAGATCCACCATT